ATCCAGCAAATGTCGACATGGGGATGCCAACATTGTACTTTTGTCTTCGGCTGATCGGCCTATGTGAGACTCAATCATCAAATGTGTTCGAATGTGAGGTTTGTGATTTATGCTTTAAAGCCTGATCCAATAAAAGATGGAGAAAAATATATATTTTTTTAGTCTGAAGTCTTTATTTGGCCCTTTTAACAAAATATGGAAAAAACAAACAAAAGTCATTTTTGAATATTTATTATTCTTTACCGTGTCAAAATTGTTGTCCTATTTTATCAGGTATATCTTATTGTGTACAACAGGGTTTTCAGCAAAGTGTCTACCATTCAATGATGCAAAAGCTCTTCGATGCAAAATATTTCAGAAACCATGTATATATATAAACATATGTTATATAGGGTTAACGAACATGAGGTGTACCTCGTGACTTCTCAAGATGTCCTCAGGTGGGCTCAGTAACCTGTAAAATGAGATTAGATTCATGATTTAACGGTACCATGACAGACCTTTCACTTCTTGCTGGGGAGATTTACTGTCAAAACGTACCTGTTTTATGCAAGAGGAGGGCTCATACAAACACCCAAGATTGACCGGGTTCTTTCTTAGAAAAACTGTGGAAAGCATGTTGTCTCTTGTTTTTCTTTCCAACACAAGAGTAAAAGAATAAGTAGGTAAGGATTTTGCTCATCTGCAGAGCCTGCAGTTGGCTAAAGGACACAGGTCACCAATCACCCCCATATGGTTGCATTAGTTTCTGCAACCATAAGCAGAGGTAGCATTGTCTTGCACAGCATGCCATTGGGGCTCTCTGTGGTAGACCCTGGCATTTATTGCTCTTGTTTGCAGGTGTGATTAATGTATCTGTGGTGTCTTCCATACTTGCCTCTTCAAGTCACTGGTATCTCTTTTTTGCTGTCAGCCTGTTTGGATTTACATCAGCAGGACTCATCCGCTTCTTCTCTTTGGGTGGATTTTAGCTGCCTCAGGCGTTCCCTTAGCAGTTCATGAATGGAGGCCATTTACCTGATGATAAACAAAAAAGAACTCACATTCACTGACAGAACTTGTGGTCCTTTTGGTTGTTTCCCCATCTGTTTCCTCTGATTTGGCATTTTCAGGTACATTTCACTTTACAAACGGTTGATCGCAACAGAAATTAATGTTAAATCAATATTATAATTAAGTATACAACACATGAGACAACCCGTTTATCATCGACCCTGTGACTTTTTTCTTCTTCCAACGTACGCCAAAGTAAAGAGTCTCAGGCACTGATAAATGGCTTTTTGGACAACTCTTCTTTCAAATGCATGTAAACTGAAAGCAACGTTAAAGAGATAAAACAACATATCAAATTGTCTGAAAGGTATGCTGAAGACAACAGAGTGTATCATTACATGAACCAAGTCCAAGTCTTCTTGGCAGTGGACCATCATATTCTGACAGTCGGTGCCATTAATCCGTCAAGATTTTCCAAATTTGCAGCCAAGAATAGAGACCACTGCCAACTCTTTTTCTTCAGAAGTTGCTGTTGTCTGGCTAATTAAGATTCTTTTCAGATCAAATGTGATCAAACCTATAAAAGAAAATGTCAGCAAACACTTCTGCAGCAAGAGTTGAATTGTAAAAGACTGGGGAAATTGGTAAATAAATCAAACTAAAATTGTTTATAACATATATGATACTTAAAATCTAGATATGCTATCCTGCACTCAGGGGAAGTGAAAGAAAAAGACCAATGCAGCGCCTCAGTAGGTCTGAACAGATCATGCAAGCACGGGTGGGAACACAAATGGCTAGATTCTATGGAAGTTGTCCATTCAAGCACTGAAGCGTTGTTAGGTTCTTTCACATTAAAGATTACTGGAAATGACTCATAAGGCAATTTCCACCGGTTATCAAAACACTGAAGCGGAGAAGCTATGTGGCAACGCTGACAAGTGTTTTTAATGTAAGATTTTTCAGCTGTCAGAAGTGACGGCAGATCATGTTTCACAACATCTTAGTCGAGCTCTTCAAAAAATGCTGGGACGTGCCATGGTCCATTAATTCTTAAGCATCACCTTGTCTTAGACCGTAGCCATGTAGATCATGCCACTGATCCCCAAATCCTGACATTGTTTCCCCCCAGAAATATCACTACACTAAACTAGTTTTTCCCAAAAAAGCAATTGATTTGATAAAGATGTCCAAACCAGTGAAGCATGTGGAACAGGAAAGCCTTTACAACAACTACGATGATAAATTGCTTGCTGCTTGTAAGTATAACCTAATATTTACTGTGTGCAAATTTTCCACTTTGTGTGAGAACAAAGGTGCCGTTGAGAGACTGCCAAACAAAGGGATGGTCTTTAACTGCTTTTAGGTCAGCTGCCAGGTTTTTTTTTATCAAATAACCCCTCTACAATGTCACTTTCTATAATATGGAATGTGAATATTGTGACGGATTTTGTGAGATGCTGAGGAAGAAACGTATAAGAATGAAGAAGATTCTCAACCAAGAGAACCTGCACTATTTCATGACATGTGCAAGCATAATTATTACCTGATCGAGTGGATGGAGTGGACGCTCACCCATGCCAGTCGATTCAGTGGCCATGCAATGGGTTCCCTTTCTGTGTTCTTTGATGCAACTATTTATGTCAATTTTATTCAATGAAGCAGACTTTTGTGGAATATTCACTATGATTTCACTTTGTCATAGAACCTGATCAGGTAACTTTTGATCAAACTGAGCAAAAACTCAAAATAACTATAGACATTAGAGCATTGACAAGCATTTAGGATCCAGTGGAACCTGGGCTGGGGTCTATGCAAAAGATCCTTTGAGTTCTGTTGTGGGCTCATGCTCCTCAATTGAGACTCCCAGAAACATCATTAGATCATTTTGGATTGGTATCTCTGGAATTTGGAGGGGTTCTTTGAATAGTTTGTAGGCAGTTTTGCTGTCTTGCTGAAGCGGGGGGTTTCTTTAGAGGGATGCTAATGGGCGTGTGTCAGTTTTTAGTCAGCACAAATCTGTGTAAAAACCGGTACGTAGAATTTCACAGAAATTCCGATCACTTTTCCTGTCAATGCCCAGAACAATATGATTTATCACATGTGTGACTATGAAGCAGAACAATGTGTAACTTATTAACTTAATATTTCCTGGTTAAAATCAAGTCCAAGGGTCAAAATGAGCGTCCTACATTATCGGATTGAATTTAGTGGTTCTTAGATAACCAGCCTTTATGAGCTGATAAAACTTTTGTGTCCCAATCTGATGGGGATTTCCACACAAGACTTTCACAATAGATTAGCTGCATGTGGCCCACATGTTGCAGTATTTTATATTTTATTGGAAGGAGTAGGCGTTTTTACGGCTTGCTGATTGAAGTCAACTGAAAAGCGAAACAAGAAGACAAGACAAGCTTATAGGCACATCTATTTTCTTTGCCTGGGGATCATATTCCCAGATGATAAAGTTAAGATGAAGCAATAATTTTACAGCAAGTTTTTAAAAAAGTGAAAGGGTTGTTGTCCAGCTGACCCTTTTATAACAGCATAAAAACCCTTTAGGTCCCTGTGATCTAATAGTGAAGCTTCAGCAAGTGACGGCTGTTTTCAGAATATTGTTAATCCTACTGAGACACAAGCTTTTACAATGATGTGCTTTTTTGTTCTCTAACTAAACTTTATCCAAGTACTGGCTGTATGTCCTTATGTAGAAAGATCGGGCATATCTTCATATTTAAAACGTTTATTTATGTATTTAAAGGTTTTCTTTGAATTTTGGTACTGACAGTCCAAATGACTAAATTACACTGTATTAAATCGCACAATAAGGACATGAGTGGTTTAAAACGTATAAAACCATTTTACTCTAGATTCCCAACATTATTGTCTGATAGTGTTTACTATGAGACCTATACGATAGGTCTAGTTCATGTTACCACAATTACATTTCTCCATATAATTTTATATATATTTGTATAAATTTGTTAGCTCCACTTGCATACTCGGAGCAGAACTTGTGGCAATGGTGAATAATGAACTCATCCTTCTGTCCATGAAATAACTTTTGATAAGATTTTATGGCATGAAACTCCTCCAAGGTGGAAATAGGTAATGCACTTTAAGGGTTAATTAGAGCGATGCTATATTATGGGGGATATATTCCCCATACCGTTGCATCTCCGCTACAGTTCTGAACCCTTTGCACAAAGAGCTGAGTCAGCAATTTTCTTTGCTGACTTCACATATGTGGATTGTCAGGGGGCTTTCCAGCTTCCTTCCACAGTCCAACACATGCATATTAGTTTAAGTGGGCATCTCAAGCAAGGTGTGTGTGTAAAATTATTTGTTGTTTTTTGTCTCCATGCTCAACCTGTGATGGACAAACAACCTGTCAGGGAAGTATTCTGACTCTCTTGATTGCCACTCCCTATAAAGTGGGTGGATTTGCCCATTCACAACATTGTGTTTTAAAAACACAAAAGAAATTTCACTATGTTTTGCATACTCAGCACAGATTTTTAGAAATTTGGCATTTTGGAAATGCATGAGCATTATGAATAAATAAATGGTCTTAGTCTTTCTTCAACAGCTCTTGTTAAGCCTAAGAATTCCTTAACATACATTTTCTCCTTTAGCTACATATATATTTGCACACTTTGTTTTATTGTAAATTGTCAGTTTCTCTCAACCACAGCATTTCATTGCACTGTTGGCTTTACGCTAACGTGTATATAACAAATAAATCTGAACACACAACTGTCAGTATGAAGGGATGTAAAACCTTTTATAGGTTATAATTTCAGTAACTCTAGGCAGGATCAAAGTACTTTCTTTGATATGCCATGCCTTTTCCCAGTTATTCATTCAAAACTTTGAGTGACAAAGACAAGTATGAACGTCTTCCACTTGCACAAGCATCTTTTCATCTTAACTTTCTTTTTTTCTTTTAACTTGTTCAAAAATGTCATAAAATCATTCATCCTTTTCCTTTCTAAAAAACCTTCATAGGGTGAAGATTGCATTGCATAGGCAGTGTTTGGATAAAGTGCCGCGAGGTTCTTTTCCATGTCCATCATTAGCTTGGTGTCCAAAGCTTAACAAAAACATCAGTAATGGGCTTAAGTGAAGGAAGAAATGAAAGGAGAAGAGTGCTATCAAAGTACAAAGGTGAGTGACAATTATGGAAATATGATCCCTTGCACAAAGCTCATTGGCTGAGGGCTCTATAAAAGAGTGCTGTCTGCACAGGCCGATAGACCCAAGATTGAAGAGCCTCAGCCTACATTGAGTATCAGAGGTGAGTAACGAGTGGTTCTCTTTTTATGACTGCAGATACACTGCACAATGTTTTTAATGAGCTTTTTGAAGAAAGTTTTCATTCATATGCAATAACGTGGTATCAGATTTGTTGTATTAGTTTAACATACTGTATGTTCTAATGTGTCTCCAAAGCAGTACACAGTAATTATAATCCATGTCACTTGAAAACTGAATCTGCCGGTCAATTGAATCTGCTGTTATTTATTAACGTTTGAGATATTTGTGATGTGCAATAAGATCAAATTTGTGTCTCACCAAAAGATTGAAAAAAAAAAAACATTTTTATATTTGCAAATCTAGGAGTCTTTCCGTGACGAAATTACTTTATTTAACCAGAAACAAATGCTTTATCATCTTAATAGCTTAATCTAAAACTCATTTGTTTGCCAGTGAAAACTGATAAAGGAAAAGTTGCCATGCATGCATTTCGTGTGTATTGTAAAAACAACAAATGTGAAGTGTTTCATCACAAAGGTTGCTTTGTTGGAGAATGCATTGAACTGGCCAAGGTGTCATAGTTATAGTTAAAAGGCTTACTGCTGGAGCAATCTATAACTCTTTCTGGTTTCCTCCCCCTCAGAGCTGCCACCACACACTTCACCATGCGATTCAACACTTTGTTTTTCCTGCTCATCATTTCTTTTATCTGTCTTGCATTGTCACAAGGTAAGACCTCATGGAAAAATAGGCATGTAATGCAGAGCGCAGGATGTCTTTTTTCCCTACAAATGGCATACAGAATATATCATAGTTCTCATAATGTAACAGCTAAATTGCACTGGCTTCCTATTCTTTCAGTCTCCTACGATGACTGCTGTCTGAAGTACGTGAAAAAAGGGAACAAAAACATTCAAAGGCATGCAGTCAAGTACAGACTTCAGAGGCCAGACGGGGGCTGCAACATCCCGGCGGTAATGTAAGTGGACATGCAAGAGTTTTAAGATCACATGTTTTTCTCAGCAGAACTGATTAAGCCACCCAAAACTCTTTGATTTTTCTCATTTTAAGAGAAGTCTTCTTGCAGTTCTGCTAAAACGGAATATTTGATTGCATTTGTCGTTTTTCAGTTTCATCATGAGGAGGGGCCGCATGTACTGCGCAAACCCCAACGACGGGTGGGCCAAACAACTGATGCAGAAGATTGATGAGAAGGAAGCCAAGCACAGCAAGACGGTAATCACTGAAGATCGAGTTTAACTTAAAGATTAATAGTGCGACACCCGTGTAACCCGATGTTGAAATAAATGTCTTTATTTTTTATAGCACCATCAACAACATCCAAGGAGAGGCTGAGGGCAACTGCTATCTACAATTAACGTGTTCATCTTTCTGCCCTCTTCAATCATTTGGTTGAGCAATGAGAGGATTTATGATGCTTTTATGGCATTTTATTGGAAGGCAATTGAGGAGGCTGGCCTTGGAAATGCTGCAGTACTACTTTTGCTTTAACTTAGCATTATCATAAAGGTCAAAAGCTGTTCCAGAGTTGTTTTCTTTGAGGAGTAGACTGAAGCTGACGGGCCCTACTGAACAAATAAGCACGTTTTAATGCATGGCTGATTCACAGGACATATATGTGACCCTTTTTGTACGTTTTCAGACATCAGATATTAAAATAGACTGCTTGATGATATAAATGGTGATGGAGATTAAATTATGCATTTGATATAACATTGTACCTGTCATCTGTAATGTTTCTACATGTCCGTCAAGTACTTTCATATGTATATGTGAAATCTCTATGTGTAAATGCGAAAACAGTTTAATTTTCATTTTTTAAATGGCTCTCTTTTCACACGTTTGTATAAAAGCTCTATGACAATAAAATACAGTCATGGCAATGAAGAAGCTTTCTTTGAGTGTTTATATGTTCATATGAAGGACATTGGTGAGAAATGAGAAAAAAAAGGGGTCATTTTAATGCAACTGTCATATGTTTTTGTTCCCGGTTCCCGGAGGGTTCCCGGTTCAAATCTTTGTGCGTGCGTGGCTTCCCTCTGGGTACTCCAACTTCCTCGCGCAGTCCAGACATGCGTGAGCTTTTTTGTCTCCATGTGGCCCTGTGCCTCCCTGTTAGCTCTCTAGGTAAAGCTGTATAGACAATAGATCGACATATTATATTTTAGTCTAAATACACTTGAACAAAACTCATGATGCAAGCAGTAAACATGTAACTATAGTCTCACCTTGAAGGCTATTCAAATTTACACTTTACTGCAGATCACTGCAATAAAAACACACCTGCGCGGTCGCTTATTGTAAATCATGTCTTAGAGTGACATTGTGCTTTGTTTAGTCGCTGGCGGAAGGCTCTTTGTGTTTTCTTTGAAGACTGAATTTGTACTAGTTACTCGATAAACAAACCAAGTCCATATTTGATGTCAGTGCAAAACTGTGGCACTTGCACTGAGCAGGAGTTGTTGAAGGCACATTTCGATCTGGATTTCTTTCTCATTCTAAAAGTTTCTGTTTCATCTCACTAGGAATCTACAGAAACTGCTGGGGCTTGCAGCAGATAATATCTCCCCGTGTGATGCAGGGTGCTTGACATTGCTGTCTTTGGAGATTGATGATTTCCAGTCTTTGGCGCTTTGTAAAGGTATCGACTTGCAAAGAGCAAGATGGAGCAAAGATACAGCCTCCATGAAAAAATGGAAGGCCCTGAAGGTCTGTGTTGTAAGAACGTATTAGATGTATGATGTTCATTAACAAAAGATACGATTTATTTTCAGTCCCTGTCAGCTTTTCTCTGCTTGTGTTCACATGAGAATTAGGCAGGAGAAGAAGTTATGTTTTCAAAACGGTTTTAAAGTCATGCAATCAGGATTTAAGTGTATGGTCTCTTCCACACGGTGCTGAAAGGTTTGTTTTAATATGTTGCCAAATTAGCTCGGAGGCAAAAGTGATGGATAGCCCTGCTTGACAAATACAAGATAATTGTCTACACATGAACAGCTTATAGAATATTGACCAACATCCAAATTGCATGACTAATAAATGTACCACCCTCGTAGGTCAAAGGGTTGTGTTGCAACTTGAAAATGGATTGTGATACAGAGGCTTCAGTTCTTCTTGTTTAAATCAAAACAGTGATGACAAAATGCTACGTTCTTGCATGCCGAGGCAAAAGGAAAAATGCCTCTTAGCAGCGTGAGCAGAAAGTTTAAACCTTCCTATTTAAAGAGAAACACCTTGAAACTATAGAACTATAAATCTATGCATAAAGAAATGTGGTAAATGTAAACAAGTAAGATGTTTAAAAACACAATGGGAACTGACAAGCGCAATAAAACCAATGATTACAGGAGACTTGCAGAACAGAAATAAAAAGATATGATTCTTTTTATTCAATAAGAGGTATCCCAGTTTGGTGCCAAGCATCATGAATCATGATTCCTTTGAAAATTTTTAAAGGAAAAAGAATAAAAGAAAGATGAAAGCAGATTTGAAACATTTCACAACCCAAATTTATTTCAAAATGTCATTATACTTATTGGAATGATGTTTAGTGTCAACACTTACATGTCATGACATTTACTTTCTTTCAACATGTGCAGGGAAGCCCAATATCATCAATATTGAGCTAATACGTCACAGAAATGGTATGTTCCTCATCTGTAATGATGGTCCAGAACACTTTCGCATTAACGATATATTTACAGTACATATTTACAGAGATTTTTTAGATGAAAACTGAAAAAAGTACAAAGACATTTCAATTATTTAAAAACTACATACATTAGGAGGAAATGTCCTTCTCAAAATAGTTTAAACCATTTTTTAAAATCATATAATTTCCATTTCCATAAAATATCTACATCTGAAATGCAAATAAACTGACATGATTAGCTTTTAAAGGTTTGTTCACAAAACCTTTGGCAAATGTGGTGTTGAATCCTCTAATGTTTTTCAAGTGCATTTTTAGATTAAAAAACCTTTCAGAGTTTCCCAACCTGGAAACGGTTGGTGAATTCTTCCCATTGACAACATTCTACTTACATGAGCATAAACATTTGCAGATCTTACAGACATAAAGAAAAATAACTACATACCGGACTGATTTCTGAGGATATTCCTCCACTATTTTTTCTCAGGTATGGCCAAGGCAGCTAGATTTTATGGTAAGTCACAAAATCTATTTTATCTCTGTCAGTCCATTTCTGGCTAATACATATGTTACAGACATAAATACATACTAATTTTCTATTTGAAATCTGACTTTAAAATTTGACCGACAGATCCTAAGTGTTCATTGTTATTGCACCAGTACAATTCTATCACCTGTCTTTCAGTAGTTTCTGCCATATTCACTTTTTCTATTAGGTCAGACTTTTCTAACCTCCCATGAGTCAATTTAATATGAGAAGCTGCACAATTTCTCAACAGTTTCAAAAGGGATTAAGTCAATATTTGCCTGTTTTGTTTCGTTTTAGGCTGGAGCCAATCCCAGCTGTCATTGGACATCCTGGACAGGTCACAAGTCCGTGCAGCAAAGTAGCCCTACATTATAATTAAAATCTGTCCTGTTTTACTGCTGGGAGGGTGCTCCTTTCCTTATGCGCTTCATTATTACATAACTCTTCAAAGGTTGCTTGTGGTCAGAAAACATAACCAAAAAAATGTATTGGCTTATCCGCAACAATTTCCAATAGTTTTTCCTATATAGGCTTGTCAGCCTGAAGCTCTTCCATGGTGTTGAGGTTATGGTTTTATCACACTATACTTAAACACCTTCAGAAACGTTGAGAGCATCCTGATTAATTTTTATTTTACTGATACGGGGACTCTTCATCCCTGACCTTAGATGAATGCTTAGTAGCCTTTGGAACTATTAATTTCCGATGCTCTAAGACAGATATCATGTTATGGACATTGTAAAAAGGATCCTGGAAAAACCTGTCGCCTGTTTAAGTTCACTAAATAAATCCCTATAATATTTTTAAGAGAATATTCAGTCTTTTGATGCGATGTTTCTGATCCTGCACGGCATTAAAGATTTTAAGGACATTTTTGGAAATTAATTTAAAATAGTTATGGATCAAATAGTATCTCTGATTTCAGAAAAAGATAAACAGTAATAGTAGTCTGAAACAAAAAGGATTTATCCACTCCAAAACATAAGATACCGTACAAAAGAATCCTTTTGGCGCACAGAATCTAACACTTTTTCTGAGAAATTCGTTCACTCATAAATAAAATAATGCTGTTTTGACATTTCTACATTCCTGTTAACTTGTGTTGAAAATGTACCAGGTGGGTCACTGGTTGCCCTTAAGTTTTTTTATGCTCTGTTGGTTCATGGCAGGTGACATGGGATATTATTTTTATAGCCAGAAACGTGCCAAGATTATTCATGGAGTTTGGCACTGTGTACACAGAACCTTTCAGAGACCTTGTGAGAAAGGACATGTAAAAAGGATTTCCGTCCACTGAATTGTTCGTTTTAAATTAAGTTATAAGTCTGGCTTTAACCCACATTATAAAGTATACAAACAGATGTATGTTTTATCAACCCCCTCATAGAATAACCTACATAATGTTGCAGACCACGGAGTTGCGCTTGAACAGTTGCCCGTCTGAGCCAGCTCTCTGTCTGAGCCTGTTCTGGGAGTGTCTGGGGTGAATCTGACTGTAACCCACGGCGTCCACCGACCTCCTCTTCTGGATTCGGTGGAGCAAAATCCGGTACGCCCCGGTGATGGGGCTTCTCAAGTCGTAGCTGTTGTTGACCAGGTGACCCTTTGTGAAGCCCAGATCCTGCAGGCCCGCCTTCACATTGAGGTCGTCTGCTGAGAGGGTGTGGTTGGAGTCAGCCAGGTGGGAGGGCGTAGGTCTGTAAGGCGGGTACGGCTGAGGGTATTCAATGCCTCTCATCCAGCCCATGGTCATGATCTGTGCCACGCTGAGGCGCTCCACAGGAATCTGCCTGAGGAGGCCCTTAATGATCTCCTGGCAGGGTTGGGACACATAGGGAGGTATGGCATATGCACCCTGCAGAATGCAACACTTCAGCCTGCTGGTACTTGTGGCTTTGAATGGCATAGTGGCGGTCACCATGAAGTAGAGCAAAATACCCAAAGCCCACATATCTGCATACTGTCCGATGTAACCTTTATCTTTGAAGATCTCTGGGGCTGCGTAAGGCGGGGAGCCACAGAACGTGAGAAGCTTGTCTGTGGAACAGGACGATGTGCTAAAACCAAAGTCGCCTACTTTAATGCAGTACGTGTTGGTATAGAACACATTCTCAGCCTTCAGGTCCCTGTGGATAATGTTATTATCATGCTGGAAAAAGGAGAAAACAAATACGAATTATTGAAAGTATGACGCTTGCAGATGTAAGTAATGTGTCATTGAAACCTTTATTCAAACCTCTAAAATAAAAGCAACAATCTAAAGAAAGTTTGACCAATCCCATTTCATTACAGAACATGAGGTCCCTACGTTGGTATCACAGAAATTGTTCCAATATTGTACAATATTGTTATCTTGGTCTCAGTACATCTCTGTTGGTGTTGAATGTATTGCCATAGTATCGGATTACTTTTTAAAAAAGGAAGAAGAAGCTAATCCAGTGAATTTGTCATTTTCAAACTTTTTACCATGCACCACTAATACTACATGGTAAAGTATAGGTTTTATTAGCATGGTCTGGGCTACATGTTAAAAGAAATTATAAGAAATGACAAGGCAGTTATACATCCACTATAGTTACGGCCTTCATATTAGGCGAGTGCACAAATGTACCTGTCGGTTAAGGGAATATGGTATGGGTGACATCTAGTAACAGATTGCATTATAATGAATATTTCCTCTGCCAATCTTACTCCCAAGGAGTAGCATCCACAACATTTCAGTTTTATGAGTTGCAACTATTTTGAAGTTGTGCTCTGGAGTGTCCCTTTTACCCCAAATAAGTAGTCATTTCACACAAAATCTGCTTTTCACTCACCATGTGCTTGACTGCAGACAGGACCTGTGAAAACACCAGCTTGCTCTCCAGATCCGACAGGCGCCCCCTGGTGGTGATACGGGAAAACAGCTCCCCTCCGCTTGCATACTCCATCACCAGGTAGAGCCTCTTGAACGTCTCCACTACCTCATACAAACGCACTATATTGGGGTGAGCAAGCTTCTCCATGCAAGTGATTTCAGAGGCAAAAAGGGCTTGTGATTGTTTGCCCAGGCGCTCTTTATCCAGGACTTTTACTGCCACTCTTTCTATCAGGTGAAGACAGACAAAGAAAGTCAGTGGTGTTACACAGAGATAAGCCTTTAAAGTCAGTAAATCTCCCTTTTGTTCTTGCATTATTCTGGTCTTGGCCTTCCTAAATATATTGGTACAGGCTTGTATTTATCACCAGAGCAAGCATTTGCTTAAGTCACTGCCATTGCATACAAAAGCTGAGAGGGCTGAAAGTAGAAAGGATTAGTCGGGTAGCTGGCTGATTAAATTAGCTGCGTCGTCTGACATCTGGAATGATCCAGACTGGCTGAGTCGTGTGTCATGAGCTGATTGTAATGTGCATCTATCCATTTTAAATCTCACATTTCACAATTAACTTGTATTTCAAGTCATCAAGCAGAAAAGCTGCCTTGTAGTCAGAGTTCTTAAATGGGAAATGCCATCAAAACTGAAGGTTTACATCATATATAAATAGTTGAATAATAAAATTTCCTAATATACATTCAGGTTAAGCAAGCTACCACAACCCCTTTTTTCATTGGCAGTGTTTGCATTAGTGTTTCTAGTTTAACACCTTTAGAAAATATAAACCAAAACAGTGCATGACATTAAATTAGCATTAAATTAAATTATTAACAAAAATTGCTCATAAACCGATTATGTTGGCCAAAGTGCCATGATTTAAACACAACGTTCACATGTCCTACCTGATCACTGAAGCTGCTAATAAAAGGCAAAGTATCCGAAATCTCACCTTTGGTTAGGTCATGTATTCCCAATTTAACCTGGGAGAAGTTGCCAGAGCCAATCTCCCCCCTCAGCTCGTAAAATCCCACTCGTCTTCCACATATCAGATCATTCATCACCTTCTCTGAATGGGTCAGATTGTACAAGGCCTTCCCGAAAGCTGTGTGCTGTATTGCCTCCTCTTCCTCTGACGCCTTCCTGTTGGTATCCACCTTTGTGTTCTCCTTTTGTAATGTCAGAATGACACGTTCTTCCATGTTAGGACTGGTCTTTGAGTGAGCCCCTGAAAGAAAGATAATCAATCATTTCAAAGTTATTCTCTTGGATATTTGTGACATTTGCTTTTAAGATGGGATTTTGTCACATTGTGTTCACATTGTAAAATTGTTTGAATGAAGTGGTCCATATGTCCTTACATGCTTTCCCTTTCATGTTCTTTCTGCTCTTCTCTGTGCTGATGGTATCTTTTCTGTTGTTCAAATACATAATTGCTATCCCCCGGGTCACTTTGCTCCTTTGTCTTCTTGGAGATTTTCAGAAAATCTAAGGATTGGCTACTTTCCAAAAAACAATATCTCTCACCAAGCTAAAATTCAAACCAAATCTGAGCACCATGACAAAATAACAACCAAACTGTAGGACTGAATCGAGAAAAATCCTCAAAAGTGTTAAAAGACTGCTAATCCAGATGCTGCTGCTGGACAGTTGCTCTTTCAACAGCTCTGTCCGTGTGCAGCAGAGATGTCTCATGGTGCGTAATCCAGAACTACCACATAATGCCTTGTAATCCCTCAGTGTTGGACTCCTCCCACCCAGACAGACAATAGACAAGCTTTAGCGGCTTCTTTAACTCCTAGACATGAAATACCACCTGATAAGGGTCCTTGAACGAGACATTGAGGGGATTATTCATATGCACATTGTCCTGCATCCTTTGTGAAGCTGTCTGGAAGCTCCAGTCCAGACATAAAGTTCCCAGTGTTTTTAGCCTTATAATAAGGACAAACATCGGACGCATTTTTACTTTATAAATGTAACCTAATCGATTTATTTTGGTTTGTTATCTGATTCAAAATACTGCCTTGGTTTACGCTGAAAAACAGAAAACTGGTGAGTCTCTTTTTCAAAACAAAAATGGCTCTCTCTCTTCTCTTTGGCTCTGCAAATGGCTGAATTAGATGAGCATGTGAGAAAGGTGGGTGTCAGGTGGGGTGGAGGCGCCACCTTGTAACCGGATGACACAGCAGCACTGTGACCTCGCCACTGACCGTGACACCAGACGGGCCACACAAACACGCCGTGGTCTGTCCACCCGTCGGCGTCGCCAACCTCAGCCCCACCCAGACTGGACACAGGGATTGTCCTGCAGTCATAACACATAAGCTGCTTGCTCAAATCACAGGTGACTCATTATGAGGCGGGTCTTAACGAACCTCTCCGCACGTGCTTCGCCCAACGGGAAGAACAGAATGATGATATTGTGAAATTTCATGGGAGATTTTTGTAGATATTTTTCTGCTCTGCTTATGGGTCATTTGGGGTGCGTTATTTATCCATTTGCAAGGATCTAATGATAATGAGTAGCTCATTATTCAGTATAATGGGCTCAGTGCTGAGTAATGCCTGTAAAATCTGTTCAAATTTACATGAGTAAAACATTAATAAGACTGTCATACAGCACAAAATTGAGGTTCAGATTAAAATCGTCCTGAAAAATAAGGTCTACTACATATATGCTGAATTGAATACTCTGTAGTGAAGACACATCCATGACCTTGGAACCAGTGGCTGGAAAAGCAATTACAACCTGTGGTCCAAATTTACCGTTCCTTGGTTTCCTCCACTATCAGAAGTTTTTCATTGTTTTATATTTTACTCAAATAAAATAGAATGTGAAGACATAAGGTTCTGTAATAAGGTAATAATAGTAAGTACTAATTGTACCTTCTGATTAAAACGTTTTTCATGAGCATTTTTAAAGATTCATTTTAATTAGAGTCTCCTTGTGGATTAAAATAACTAAATTTTCCTTTGTGGCAGACAGTACAAACTCACTTATATTTTTCTCAATTCATTTTTATTTGTTACATTTAAGGCATATTTGCAGTTAAGATTAGTTATACATTCCAAAGTAAAACAATTATTCAAACAGTCAGTCTTGAGCATCATTTGTCACAAAAGAAATAACCAACAGAGGGGTTTTTGAGGAGCAAATGTGGTGAGCAGATCATCTGTTTCCATTCCAATGAAGTAGAAAATAATTTAAAAGTGTAAAAACAATGTTTCTTAGGAACTATTGGTTTGGATAATACTGTCTCTTCTCTCAAGAGACCTCACGAATAAAATCTGGTAAGAACACAGAGTTTACAATCATGTTGAAAAGCAAGTAATTCCAGTTTTCATCCTAAGGTCTTCCAAAATGTCCTATTACATAAATAAAATATGAAATGATCAACAAAGAATGACATATTCCACATTCAGAACAAAACTAAGCCAAAACACAGAAAAAAGGCTCCATTAATAAGTTTATTATTCTTTATATGGACGAAGTGTAAGAAGCAGCCAGGCGCTGCTCATCCAACACACTTGATTAAATGATAATCATTAAGTTTGTCAAGTTTGTCAAAAAATGGAGAGTGGTCTGGAGGACTCAGGCGTGTCACTGCGTAGTGTCAAGTAGCAAACATGACGAAGAATCACAAAATTGGAGCAGTTACTGATTAAATTGACCTGTGAAACTACAGTGAAACAGATTAGTTTTAAGAAGAAAAAATAAAAATGTTGCTGTGTGTTTAGTGTGGCACCTAATAAGTTTTTTTTGTAGGAATTATAACATGAAAAACTTTTTTTTTTAAAATGCAAAGATTCAAATTCAAATTGAGGGTATATCTAAAAAGTTGGAAGGAATGGAAGGAAGCTAAGTAATAATTGATTAGGTTCTATAGCCTGAAATTAGCTAAAAGTTAAAGACAAGGTAAAAATAACTGTTTTGTTTTGTATTTACATTTTTATTTTCTGTTAAATGTACCTACATTTTCCCTGATTGGATCGCAGTCAGATTTAGCCATGACTGATTGACTCCGGCTTTTACTGGGATCATTGCAGACTTCAGAGGGATTTGTTGTAAAATTAAAGTTGGGTGTCGGGTGGGACTTTAATCAGTGTGTCTGATGGCTCTGAACGATGATCCGTTGATCCTGAGGAAAATGAGCAGATCACATCAGCACGTGAAAGCAGGCAGTAAAAAATGGCTGCTACACGTCTCTCCTTCTGTCAAACAAAAACAAACAACTTTTCAGACCATCATGTCCTCAAAGCAAAACTGAAAAAACTTCACATTATAATATAAATGAATGAAATGTATTAGACATTGATCCTCTTTTGCAGTGAACTGCTTTAGGCTACATAAAACACATTTCTAGAAAACCTGTGATGTCTGGCATTTTACTTAGCTACCTACAACTGCTATTCTACTTATTCGCTCCTCTTTCTGTTAAGAGAAAAAAAGAGAAGAAATTTTAAGGGCAGGTTTGATGGTATCTGGCCATTTGGTGTCATGCTGAATAAACACAAAGGTGCTGGAGGGCAGGCTCCGGGCCCCCATGCTGATCCTGTTTATATGCTTGGACCAGGTTTTTGTTTTAAGTTAGAGGTGCTAAATACTGCCCCCCGAGATAAAAGATGATTAATGCCTATGGGTGAGCGACACTTTAATGACCCGAGGCTACTTAAGCTCTTCATTAGTGTGAGCTTGGGTTCGCTCGACACATTTGAGCTGCTGGTCCCCTTTGCTGCGGTTACGGAGCTGTCCTTTGAAGTGGTCCCTGCCCGTAAAGCATTCAACATGGAAATTTGATTAACTCGCCCTTTTTCTCTAAACCCCTGGTTTTGGGTGACATTTGGGAAACTTGATCATATATAAATATCCAGGGCACCAGTGAGCAGAGGGGTACTGAGGATCTGAAGGTTGAGGAGCAGATTAACACAAAAGTCATGGATACACTCCAATGTTTCTTCATCCGTCTGTGTTTTCTCCATCTGACCTGTAAGTACTGATTGCTTGTTTTGTTCTGCTGAAGATGTGGCATGTATTTGTTGAACTGTCATACGTTTGTGCATCTATCTTAGCTGATACTAATTGGTAAATGTGTGTTGTCCATTGCATCTTTAGTAATGAATCCATTTAAAAGCGGAACGGATTCACTTTAAATTCAACATTCAGTGAAAAGTTTTATCGCTATTCCAAAAATAAATGTTTCCATATATCATACCCAAACTGATCAGGACTATTTTCAATTCAAAATGATCTCTGAGTCACTGAAGCTACATATTCCAACTTGTCCTGTGTTTTCTAGTGTGTGGAGTGCTGAGCAAACACACTGATCACAGAAACCTGTTCACACAGCGAGTGTGTTGCAGGAGGCAGAGTCACTTTTTGTACATTGGGCAAGGTAAGATAACGCGTATTCAAGAATGGGTTCCTCTTTGGCAATTAACAAATTAAAAAAGTGTTTTGCTTGACTTGTTTTTTTGCTGTTGTTTTCTTGCCTCTACCTTCTTAGATATTTCCGGGAGTCCAGTCAGTGTAGATGTAGGACTGTGTAAGTCACACTGTGGAGCGATAAGACCATCACATGAAGCAAGCCAGCAGGACTACTCAAAGCATTCGTCAATGCTGGAATTTATCAGGAGCAAAAAGGTAGAATTACCAGCTGTGACAGTTTCCTAACCTGCCACAAGGGTGCGCTGTGACATTGTGATTATCCAAAGGCCTCTCTCCCACTGACAACAGTATATTATCATAAAGATCAACTCCTTTAAATAAGAAAAAAAGGAAATTAACCCCCCAAAAAAGATGTTGAAAGCTTAGAAAATATATTTTCTGTTTTATATGGACTGAATAGTAAACACCTCCTATCCAAAATTAACTAAACTACTGTTCTTACGCACAAGATCACGTGTGGAATTTTAAAAAATAACACCATAATCACTTACCCTCGGGTTCTCAAAGCTGAGGATGCGCGGAGCTGCTGCCGCAGACATTGGGGAGCCCCTCAGACAGCTGCCGTCCTGCGGGATGAGCCAGGTGTGCCAGCCCGCCGGGATGCGCGTGGACCGGATGCTTCTGTTCGAGGGACCCCGAGAGGTGGAGGTCATCGAGGAGTGCCACTGTGAGATCAAACTGACGCAGTGCATCCGCGTCCCGGCGCTGAAGACCTATTACTCTGAGACACCGTATGAAACAGTCATAGACGTGGGAGGATGTTCACGGTCCAAAGGATCACCAGGTGTGTGCACGTTAGAAGAGGATCAGCCAGGCAAATTCAAGTCTAATTATTGTTAAACTTCTAATCCTTTTAATGTTAAACAGTTTAATTAATTTACCTTAATTATATGATAGAGGCCTATAATAGAATTATACATTGCATATATAATATGTTGGCTCAGTGATAGGTTTTTAGTGTTTCACAAGCTTAAAAAAGTATCAAACTAACCTAATTCATCTTTAGGTGACCAGGTGGGAATCTCTCTTAAAAGTTTGATCACATTCCATGTCTGAGTCCTTGCTTTTTTAAATCATTCACAGAGGGATTCTCCTGTGTCCCCACTAAGTTTGATTCAGCCTGGGTGGAGACTCCCAACAAAGTGGATCTCGTCCAGACCGTGGTGGCCTGTGAGCTAAAGGAAAGCTGCTACAGGGTCCCATATATAGAGTACTATTATGAATTAGTCCAATATCCAGAGGGCGTCAGAGAGGAGAGGCTCAAAGTAAGTGTAATCGAGAGGGTGTTTCTGCAAATATTTCTTCCGCGTGTTGATGTCTTATTTTCACCTTGTTCAGTGAGATCATTTTTATTTGATTAGCAAGGTACATTGAACATTTGAAGACTGACACATTTGTGATGCGAGTTTCACACTCTTTTGTTAGGAAGCGAAAAGGAAATGGGGCTTTAGCTTGGTGCCAGACAATAATGAAGTGTTTTTATTCATCGGAGGGTTGAGGAAGACAGTCTTCAATTAAAGTATTCCAAAGCCTGGCGCTGCACATCCTAGATGTTTAAAACTTTAGGATATGCTACGTTTTTGTTCATTTAAAAAAGAAAAACATAAAAAAGTGTGCTTCCAAGATGGATAAGAAAGAGGGATGATGGCTAAGGAAGTCAAAATGTCTCCAAACTTAATTTAAACCTTAATGGTACTTTTCCCCCCCATTATTAAAAAGGTATCTATTTTTCTGTTTGTGTTTTTTTCATCTCTTTTTTTCTGAAAAACAATGATTAACTCAATTGGCTGTCCACTATGACTGAAGCAAACGGTTGTCTCTAAAATGAATTTCCTGCTTATGGCAAACCACAAAAGGAAACCCTCTCATTTTTAACATCTTCATCAAAATCTTAACATCAGTCTTTTTTTTTTTAAATAGTCCTTTCACTTATTTAAAGATAAGTTCCTGTGCTTTAGTTGTGGCTGTCTGCCATGTCTTTGCACCTAAAGTACAGTTACAGCACAAACACAAATGGCCCCCGCAGGTGTTGAATCAAAGCTGTTAACATGCTAAACGGCAGCTGGTCCCCCCAACTCAACTGGGTCAATATTTGTGAGCAGCTGTGAACTTCCCTCCCTCTGTGTTGCTAATTCTCTCCAGGAAATAGATGTGGGCAGATGTTTGGGAGGTTGCACTACAGGAAACCGATGCCTTCTCAGGTAAGTACGAACACAGCTGCAACACACATCCCCAGACACTCCTCCTCTTGCCCCCCCGTTTGTGACAATTGCCTGTGAGCTCTGACACTTTCTGGGCTCGAGGTGTTGGCTTCATTTGAATGCCAGCACCAAATGTCCCCTTTATGTCTTAAGCCTTACTTTCACATTACAGCAGGAATCAAACCTTTTCTGTTTTTCTGAAGACCATCAGAAGCAGTAGATATCCACGTTAAAAAACAATGTTCTTGTGTTACCATTGTATTGGTTTTATTACTTACAGAAACAGTCATGTTTAACAGTTTAAAAACCACCCAGTAAATTCCATCCATGCATGTTTGTTTGGGATTACTTGTTCTATTGAAAACTGGGTTGCACGAATGCCAAATATTCATTTTCTTATTAGCAGAAACACTAAGTGGTAAAAGTTGTTTTCATTTAAAGTAAAACATTTGTAATTTCACAAGAATGACGCGTTGCTCCAAAGAAGTACAAACAGATTAAATGTTATCAGTGACTTATTTACCATACATGCTTTGACCAAAAAACTCTGTTTTCTGAGATTCACATCCCTAAAAAGTGGCCATGTCTGGTAACTTTTTTAAGTGTTTTTTGTGTGTTTCTTTTTAAGGAATCCAACTGATCCGGAAAACTGTCAATTGTGGTCTGAAGGACAGTCCAGCTCCTGTGTTCCTCAAGGCTATGAGAGCCACAGCTTCTTCAACCAGCATGGGCAGATTCGAACTGTGCTGGCAATCACGTCCTGTGTCTGCAGCGCCATCTAGCGGAAAACCACTTCTAAGACCTCAACTGACCCCAAAAGACACACATTTTGGGCCTTTACCCTCAAGAAAATACTGTCTCCAATTTGCTACCTTATTGTATGTTTGTATTATATGTAATATATGTAGACATAATAATTTTGTAAATAAATTTAATGAAACAATCTCTGTACTCAGTTGTATGACACATATTAACCGGTTTCCAAAATAGTCTGCTTTTAAAAAAGGCACAAACTGTGTGCGTGTGTTCTGGACATTTAATCTTCAATAAGTATAACACTCAGCATTTGAGTAAAAATCTGAAAATTATTATTTTATACAGAAAGAGTTTTATTTTAAAAGAGACAAGATCAGGAGAATTAATTTGTTATCATTAAAACAAGTTCTAATGGCTCTGTAACAAAGTTGAGCCTTAAAAACCACTTAGGTTTAGCAACATAACAATGCGTTTCTTCAACTTTAAACTTGTCAAAATGAAGCTTTGGAGAAATACCAGGAGGGATAACTCACAAGAGTAATGGTTCCTATAAGAAAACACACGTGCAGGCAGTTAATTCCCCCTGATTTTAATAAGAACGTGTGAAACAACACTTTTCTGTCATGTTTCATCTGTAAGGACACGTTTTATAGCTTGCCTGCAAGGTGTCACGAAGGGAAAAAAACTTTGATGTTTATAACGTTGAGAGACGAACTTTTTCAGGCTCTGTTTGTCTTTTTGCTCGTGCGTAATTGTGCGTAAAGATCAAAAGAGGCAGATGGCACAGTTTCCAAGTTAGCAATTTTAGTGTTTTGCAGGAATAGTCTAATGTACTCCAATTTAAAGCATATTTATTCAAAACCAGCATCGAATGAAACAGTTTATACCACCAGATAATTTTAACAACGTGTTGATTGGTATTAAAATGAGTTTAAGACACAGTTCAAGATTGCTTATATTCAGACATACAAGTAGATCGTACTGTGTTAAGTTTAACTTTAGCAGTGCCAGGCAGGTCCGATTAGCTCAGCTTCTCTCAAAAACCAATTCACAAACCTTGTGATTATCCAGCTGCAAAAGGATAAACAGCTATGTAAATCTCACAACGTGCAACGAGCGACACCCGCGACTTTATCCGAGTAATTGGTTTCCACCTATAACAGTGTTGCCATTATGCCAAATGAATGGATTCCTTTAGGCTCAGCAGACCTCCCACAGAGAAACACTCGTCCTCAACATATAGGGCATCAACTGGAAACATGGGGACGGGACATTTTATTTGCCTTTTGCCATTTCATAAAGGAAATCGCGTATATTCTCCAGAGCAGCACACTCTTCGATCCGTCTAAGCCAAGCTTTTCAAAGGCCACTTGTTGTTTATTTGAACATTTATTGCCAGACATTGAGACAATGGGCTTGAATAAAATCTCCAATCGGGGTCACACCTTCTTAACATCGCCATTAGTCTCCCTTTACATTCGCTGATTGGTGATTTACATTTGCGGCCAAATAGCATCTTTACTGCTGTTTACCGAGGACTTTGGGGGCCCTGGAGAGGAAACAGAGGCATTTGATATAAAAAGTCGAGCTTCCAGGACTCGACCGTCACTCCAACCCCAAGCTGCGTTCCAGGACACATACGCACCAGCAGGCTTCGTCCACCCCCAGAGATGATGATGATGTTTGTGGTCAGTTTTGCAGCCTGGCTGTGCGTCGCTGCCGCACGGCCTTCAGCCGATGACCAGGAGCATCGTTTCACCGCAGAGAGCGAGTCAGAGGAAGTGCGCTCAGCTGCCATCAAGAGACTTTTGGAGGTTTTTGGGATGGATGACCCCCCCGCTAACCACGGACACAAGCAGCCTCCTCAGTACATGCTCGACCTGTACAACACGGTGGCGGATGTGGATGGCGTGACAAAGGACCCGTACCTCCTGGAGGGGAATACTGTGCGCAGTTTCTTTGACAAATGTAAGATCTGAATTGTGTCTCTGCCCCTGGAAACGTCAGCCAAGCGTGTTCCGCATCTTTTATGTTACGGTGTGTTATAAAGGCGTCGTTTTTTTGTGTTTTTTTTTTTTTGCATTGCAGTGCACAGCGAGCAGGTGGAGTTCCGGTTCAATTTGTCAACAGTTGCAAGAACCGAGAAGATCCTCACAGCAGAGCTCCACCTTTTCAAGCTGCGTCCTCAGCCGACGCACACGTTCAGCAGACATCACTTCTGTCAGGTTTGTGAGCTGAGCAAAGTCCCGGCCAACTTTTTAGGGCTGATTATTGAAATGAATTAGAAGCTCTAATGCAGTTTCCTTTTCTAACATTGGCCACATTCCTGTCCCACTCAGGTCAGCGTCTACCAGCTGCTGGACACCATCAAAACCAACAGCACGCAGGAGAAGAGGCTGTTATCTTCTCGACTCATCCCAGTCCACTCCACCGGCTGGGAAGTGTTCACAATCACACAAGCAGTGAGTACCCCCCTCTTAAAGAGTCCTGCATAAACTGCTTTTTAAAAAAAAAACTGGAGTGTGTTCAGTTTAACCGACTGATGGACCTGCTGCAGGTCAGATCGTGGATGTTGGACGAGGGCAGTAACCTGGGGCTCCAGGTGGTGGTCCGGACGCTAGGAGGAAGCCCCATGGATCTCAAACTGATCCGCTTCGCCTCGGGCCGCCACCACCACCAGAGCAAGCAGCCCATGCTGGTTCTCTTCACCGACGACGGCCGCACCTCTGCCACCCTCGAGAGCGCAGGTCAGATTTGTGTCCGTTTTGTCACAGCTCACCTCTCACACCTTGTCTGGACTTAGTCTCCAGAGGCAGGGTTGAGAACTTGGAATAATGGAAAAACCTCCTTTCTTCTCTCAGATCCCCATGAGGCCACTGCCCCCTCCCTCCTCCCCCAGGCGCCCCTGTCGGCCCCCCCCTCCCGCACCGCCCGCTCGCTGGACTACGGCGAGGAGGACGGCGTGTCCATGCCCTGTCAGCGCCTGCCGCTGTATGTGGATTTCGAGGAGATCGGCTGGTCGGGCTGGATCGTGTCTCCCAGGGGCTACAACGCGTATCACTGCAAGGGCTCCTGCCCCTTCCCCCTGGGTCAGAACATGAGGCCGACCAACCATGCCACCGTCCAGTCCATCATCAATGCCCTGAAGCTCATCAAAGGCATCGAAACCCCGTGCTGCGTGCCCGATAAGCTCTTTTCCATCAACCTGCTCTACTTTGATGACGATGAGAATGTGGTGCTGAAACAGTATAACGACATGGTGGCTGGAAGTTGTGGCTGCCACTGATGTCGGTCTCAAGTGTTTAAGTCCACAGATGCCATATCAGAATGTAAAATAGATTTATTTTTGGGTTGTTTTTATACTCACATGGCCAGCTGTCATTTGTCCCATAACTGATGAGTTTGCAATCCTGGCAAGTGACAATGTAATATATGTAAATATCCAGAAATTATAATATATGACTGTCATGGAAGTTATATTCAATGAAATGAAAATGTGTATATCTTGTGTGTTCTCTTATTAATGATTACAGTTAGAATAAATGGTGTTCATAAAAGAATACAAATGGTGTTCATTATATCCCTCAAGAGATAAAATTATTCAAATAATGCTCTTTGATCATGAAAATAAGCTCTTTTAGGAGTTCAATAGTCAAAGAGGTCGTTCACCAAATGTTAGACTCAAGCCTAATAAAAACCCCAAAGCTGGAATAGGTGGTATACAAAATGACCGAATGGAGAAGTCCATCCTGCTTTTGAAAAACATTCCATGTGAAAATGATTCATTCTGTTTCTCCAGTGGACTTTAAATTGAGTCAAGTTCATGGTAACAGTAATCATTTTTCAACATAATTTAACTTTTAGTTTTTCATTTAAAAGCATCAACACCAACACATTCGTCTTGTCTTTCATATGGAGTGTCCTCACCTGAACCAGTGTGTAATAACTCATCATTATTAGTAACTCATCTTTTTCATGGATTGAACCTCTTTGAGACGCAGAAGGCATTCCACACGATTAATCTGCAGTGCTCGTCTGTGACCACTGGGTGGCACTGTTGTGCTCAACGCTAAATTTCCAAGAGTAGAATAAAAGAATAACAGAGCTGGAGAGGGATGGGAGATCACATTCTGGAAAAAAGTCTGAGACATTGTGACATTGATATTAATTATGATAGATATATTTGTATAAATATATATATTAAATTTACTCACGGGATAGCTGGAATACTAAGAGAACATTATTTAAAAAAGCTCATGAGATTGTCAGCAGGATTATTTTTGCTTTTCAGAGTGTATTATGTTATTCTCTTAATGTGACTTATGTGTTAACAGGATCTAGTTGCAAAAGTTACAAACGTTAAGAATATGTAAATATATAACTGACTTGAATGTTGTTTTGATAAAATAGAAACAGGGCCACGAGTATCTGTTTGTTTAGCTATTTCTTCTGAGGTGATCAGGCTAAAAACAGCTATGAGGCATATTTTTTTATCATGGAAAACAAAACTTGGACGAGTGTAGATTTAATAGATCAAACCGTATCACCCTAAAAGGCAACAAGAAAACGAGAAAAATAATCCAAATTAGAAAATGTTTTTATAGAGAAAATTTGTGGCAGGTGTTTTTTGATGAATTAATTTTCAAAGTATATTTTAAATGTAAAATATTTCTTTTGAAGTGATTTGACAGAAAAACAGCATATGTAGCTCATTGCTGGTTTTTGACAATAAATCATTGAAACTGGGCAATTTCATGTTTTTCTTTTTTTGTCTAAAACTATTTCTCACCAGCACAAATACTTATACTATGTGGGATAAAGTGAGCTACAGGTACAATGAATTTTGCCAGTGCAAACTGTTTGATTTTAAGCCTCAAGGTTTGTCTGCAACCAAGTTCTTAGTTGAAACAGTTTGTCTCCCATCAAAAATTCTTTTTGCACATCACCAAACCCCTTCTGTAAAGGATGTAACCCGAGCTGGGAACGAGGCGTTGGCCACAGAGTGGCACTAAAGGGGGTTGAAACCACTTGGCACGATGCTGGACGACAGCCCTTATTCATTGTCAGGGGGGATGCTATTCACAATGGAGAAAACGATGAAATGCTGCCATTATAGTAGCGAGCAAAGGGCCCCGTTGTGGACCGACACCTGATCTCCTCGTTGGCCCTTGCCTCCTTTTGTCCCAGTATTTCATATCTGGCTTACCCATCCTAAAAAAAAAAAAGGCACCCAGTGCTGGAGCAGCGATGGACCTGAAGCTTGGAGTTTATGCTCTCAGACATGGGGAATAAACAGACCATCTTCTCATCGCAGCAGCTAGACGCCTATCAGGTGGGTGACACCCTGCTCCTGTCTGAATTAGACGCTCAGCTAGTGCCTGCAACAAGTCTCCCCACTGTTGATGAAACAGGATTATGAGGTGCATCTTTTCTAGAGTGGTGGTGAACTTGCTCAGTGCAGCCCTCAGAGATTGTTGATTTGGTTTAATTTCATTATTTAAAACTGCTGTTTGTAGATGTCCGTCTATATGTGTGTGTATATATATAACAGACCATCTGTGTATATATATATATATATATATATATATACACATGTGCACAGATACTTCTCAAAGGGATAGTGTTTAAAGTAGGCCAAAGCTCTGCCCCAAAAGCCTAATAACCATAGTTAACATTATAGTGAACCAATAATGTGTTTAAATAATAATGTCTCTATGACTTTTGAGGAGGAATAGAATGAGTTTACTTTTAATCCTCCCAGCAGACTTTCTTCGATGACGTGATGGATTTAACCCTGTAATGCCAAATGTATCATATTTGATACATAGGGTTTCTGAAATGTTTTGCGTCTGACACCTTTTGCATAATCTAATAGTAAAAACTTTGCTAAAAATCCTTATTGTACACAATCAGATATACCTGATAAAAGGGGGCAGAAGACTACACGAAAAATAATCTTGATTTATCGCATAGTAATATTCATTAATATAAAAAATGTATTTCTGTATTTTCTTTTCACATATTTGATCAAAAGGCCAAATAAAGACTTCAAACAAAAAAAAGTAATTTTCTGTTTTGTTTGATTCTTGGATCGGGCTTTAAAGGGTTAAACACAACCTCCACTGTCTCAGCAGTGCATCATAACTACTCCCGATTAAGGAGTTTCGGCTTAAAGCCTGTAAGTGTTGTGCAAACGTAGTTGCTTCCTCATAGAATGATTTCTTTGTATTTGCAGGACTGCACATATTTCACAAGGAAAGAAATTCTCAGGTGAGCATCCACGTAGTTCGTTGTGTGTCCTGTTTTAGGATCATTCCACTGGTGCAGAAAACTCCCACTGTCACCATTAGGCACAGAGGAATTCTGTTCAGTTCTTTACAGTACCAAACTGTAACTCTAAACTACGCGACCAGGGGTCCTGTCCTGCTGTGGGGCGGCCGGGCTGCCGCTCAGATAAAATGCAGTGTTAAATCTTGCTTTTGAAAGTTTTAACTCTCTGAAATGTGCCAAACATCCCGAGTAATCGTGCACCCGTCTTGCAAGGACACTTTCTTCTTCATCCACAGAGGCCCGCTCGAAATGCAAATTCACATGACACAAAATACATCTTGTAACTCAACACTAACAGTCTTTTTTTTTTTTTTTTTAAACGTTCCTAGGCTGTTCTACCGCTACCGGGATTTGGCACCGCAGCTCGTTCCCCTTGACTACACCAACCACCCAGATGTGAAGCTACCATATGAGCTGATTGGCAGCATGCCAGAGCTGAAGGTAGCCCCATTGCCCCGCGGACCCGCTCTCTCCCTCTGTTCCCAATCCATAATTAATGGCCAACTAATCGACAGAATTCTTTGAGAGGTTATATGTTACCCGACTCCTTTAAACTTGAAGAACGCCGGCGGGCTCCAGAGTGCACGCTTGTTGAGGATGGGTAATTATATGCCCCTTTACGCAATGACAGCAGGGTAAACAGGTGAATCATCTGCTGCTGGCTGAGAGGGAGCCCCGTGAGTTCCCTGAAAGTCCCTTCAGAGTTCCAAGCTGTGGCCATTTTGTGGTTGTTTTTGGACTCTTCGTAGTTAAGAACATGCAGGGCTCCAACCTGTCCACGCTTGTGTCTGATGTGTCGTCCACTCAGGACAACCCTTTCCGGCAGAGGATCGCCGAGGTTTTCTCCGAGGACGGAGAGGGAAACATGACACTGGATGACTTCTTGGACATGTTTTCGGTCCTCAGCGAGATGGCCCCCCGCGACCTCAAGGCCTACTACGCTTTCAAAATTTACGGTAAACCTCTAACATCATCTGAAACCAGGAGTTTCCCCGAGCGTTTAATGAGCGGACATTGGAATCAATTTCCAGAACGTGAGCACAGCCAAACATGTGAATCCACCCGATAGACAATGATGATAACAAAACAAAAAAAAACTATATTGCCTTTTCTGAAAAACGTAAAGAAAAATGATCTGATTAAACTAATATTTTACATTAATTTCAGATCATTCAGAGAACAAAATCGACTTGACTTCATTTAGGCTGACCAAATTTACCACCTTCGATTTCATGCCTTCTAAATTGTATCTTTCATACCTCTAAATTCAAATATACCCTCTCTTTGAACAGATATAGTGCTGACAAAAGAGGTTTACATGTGTGCTGGAACTACAGTGTTATAAGAGGCCGACCGTTACTGAAGAATGCCCCAGATTTGTTTGAGAAAACTCTTTCATTGTTAAAATAATGCTTTTCAAAACTGAACGAGTATGCAATGAAGGTGCATGAACATTAAGGGGTTTGGAGATTCATCATCACTGAAGCACATCAGCCATGAGATTAGGAAGTTTTGACAAATGGAGAAATAATGACTCATAGAAAAAGAGGCAAAGGCAACAAATGATCCATGAGGCTGCACCATGAACAATGGGACTGATGACAAGAAAATCTCTGTGTGGCCAGATTTTGAAAAGCCTGAGTTAAAAATACTGTCAAAGGCAAAGAACAAGGAAAAAGAAAACCCTTTTTCTTTTCTCCAAAGATTTCAACAACGACGATTTCATCTGCAAGTCGGACTTGGAGAAGACTCTGAACAAGCTGACCCGTAACGAGCTGACCGAGGATGAGGTGAGGATGGTGTGTGAGAAGGTCATGGATGAGGCCGACCTGGACAACGATGGACGTCTGTCCCTGGAGGATTTCCAACACATGATTGTCAGGTCTCCAGATTTCCTCAGGTAAAATTACAGATTACAGAAAATGCGTCACTGATGGTAATCTCAGTATGTGAGCGTTTACTGAAGTTTCTTTTTTGCTTTCAGTACCTTTCACATAAGGATATAAGGACTTTTGACACGCAACTTTCATTTCTTACTTGAAATAGTCTGAGTGGATGGACTGAAATACAGCAGAACATCTGGAAAGACAGAACACCCTCAATAGGATCACCAAAGTATCTTGTGACCACGTCGTTTTTTAAAACAGTAATAAAATATTTTAAAAAATCAATTTAGCTGTCCAGCTTAAATATTCTTCTGTGAGGAGCCTGAAAATACGTCTAGACTGCCGGCGTCCAATATTTCCTTTGTTATTGTTGAGACAGAAATAAAATCTATCCGTGGTCTATCAACAAGGGGAGGCACAGCTAATCCATCAAGGCAAGGCTCATTAATTATGACCATCAACAGTAGATTTGTTTTGTATCTGAAGGGGTTTGGTTACACCGAACTATAAAAGAAACGCAGGCCAGAATATTCCAGCGGCTCTCAGTGGGCCAATAAGGGGGGAGGCATTTGTCATGAAAGCAGTCAGGCTTCAGCATGTGGTCAACCGATAGCCGTTTCCTTTCACATCCAGCCAATGAAAACATTCACAAGTTGCCTTTTCGCTTATTTTATTAAAACAAAAGTACACATATCTACAAATTGTAGATACTTTTAGATGGGTATAGAAAGTACAGTACAATTTAAGTAGATCTCTTTTTTCCCCTCCATATTTACAATACCCAATCCCAACTTTTTTTTTTTTCCTTTTTAAAAATCTGTTATGCTCCCCGTCAACGTCACAGCAGATGGAATGAAAATATGGCTGTTAAAAGGGATGTTCACTTTATAATGACATGTGATAGCAATCTTAAGAATAAGAAAAGATAAATATCAAACAGGGTACATCGTTCCAGAAAAAAAAGAAGAAAAACAAGATGCAGCTTGAGTCGAAGACATCTGCGCCCTGCGGTTCTGTTTCTCACTTAAAGCTACAGTATCACTTTATCAAGAAAACAGCAATTTCTACACATTTCAGACTCCCGCTAAACGAGCCTCCGCGAGGCAGTAAGTGTCCGTCTCTTTTTTTTGGCTCAGAGAACAGAAGATAAACGATAACAAAAAGCCCATATGTTTAACTGCACAGGCCTATAAGTGTGTCTGAAAAGAACAGTACACAAATATGCACAGGTCCAAGATTCACAATGCATAGCGCACCCATGACACAACTGCGTGCTAGTGGTTAAGACAAATGGTCATGATATTCATGAGGTCCCCAATGACTTGATATCAAAAAGGTGCAGGCGAGCACAGGTACTCCCTCTCACCGTATGTGCATACAGGAACCTGATTTTCAGACAAACAAACAAAAGTGGGGATGCAAACATGAGGTAATGTGGAAGCAGAGAGAGATTCAAGAGGAAATACTCATATATCGCACATTTCAGATTAACTGTGGCTCCTGATCTCGAAAATTAAATTTTAAAAAAAGAATACTGATTCAAATTTGACTTTGGCTGGTCGCCAAAGATGCTTTTAGGGCTTCTGGCGCCACCCAGCTGCCAAACCAAACTCTGGTTATAGTAAACATCGATGTGGGGATAATTGGGACGAGCTAAGGTCAAGCCTGCTTTCATGATAACCAGACAAAATACCAGTTTTATAACTACATTTTTCAGGCAGTAGCTTAGACACAGAGGCTTTGAACGTTTATAGTCTATATCTAAATATTGTATATAGTTTACATAAATTACAGTTAAAGTAAGCATATGTTTCAGTCAATAGATATCAGGACAGTGAGATAGCATCTGAGATCAAGTCTTTTTTTTTTTTAAGGTTGTGTAAAGGTTGGTATTACATGTCTGTTCTTTTACCAAGACTCCCAAGGTCAAAACTGTATTGTTGAATGCAAACCTATCACTTGGCACAGACTACACACAAAACACAATTTACTGTTAAAGTGCTAGGAGAGCTGCATGGGTAGCGGGGGGGGGTCTTCGAATGGGAACCTTCAGGTAATCGTAACTGCTTGTCAAATAACCAGAGGCGTCATTTAGCTTGGCTGTGAATCAGAGCTGAGAGGAAAAGCTAAACTATTAAAAGGTTTAAACGGCTTACTTGGGAACTAAATTAACTCATATTCACCTTTTTTTAAATTGCGAATGCCTATAAACTTTAGGGCTTCTCCTTGGTAGCATGGGAATTCTAGATTTCAATTTACCTTTAAATGACGTCGTAATTTCTTAAATGTTCCAAAACATTCGTTACTTTAGGGGTCCTCAAGAGAAACTGCTTAATTTCACGCATGTTGAGCAGACCTTTAGAAAAGCGGCACGTGTTCAAAAGAAGTATCAATTTGTGCTTTTCAGCACAAAGACCAGCGCAAACAGAGCTGGAGGCAGTGATCGGGCATGACAAAGCACTTTTTAGTCACATTAAATGATTGTCACAGTGTACATACAAACCAAGGAGAACGCAAGTAAAAAATCAAAACAAATCTATCAATCTGAACTGGACCGCACAGTCCCTGATTCACAGCTGCTGATGTTAAGGGTGTGAGCCACTTCAGCTCACGTTTCATTAAAGCCAATCAGCCTCTGGATGCGCTCGTCACATAAAAGGGGAAAGAGCACTATTAAAAAATAGATCTCAATATCTCATTTGTATTCCAATCCAAAAATAAAAAGAAGAAACTATTTCAATAATTAGGCAAGTTTTTCATCACTGGTTGTGCTACCTGCTGTGATTAAGTGTGCATCATACAAAGTTAAGAGTGAAATGCAACATCTGGAACGTGCTTAGGTGGGGGTTGACCACCAGTCAAGCGAAATGACCTAAGAAGACAGCGGATCCCATGGAAGAGGCGCTCCCCTGGAAGCTTTCAGAAGAGCAAGAGAGGTGGGGAGGCCCTCTGCATTACAGACGACAGTGGTTTAAGTTGACCTGGAGAACTGGTCGTGGTTGGGAAAACAACTGGAAGGGAGAGGAAGTGCTAGGAGCAAGCACAGTCCGTTCATGTCCACCAGCACGTGGCCAGTATGGAAGGCTTCAGGACTCAGAGAAGGCTACAGCGGAAGAAGCTGGTCTTTTTCTGAGGCTCAGAGATCTTGACTCCATGGCTGCTGCCCTGTGGGGTGTTGCCCTCCTGCAGCAAAATGGGTCAGAAAAATTAACTGCCCGTGTGTACCCACATATACCCATGTAATATATCAAATATCCATGTTACATATATATGTATGTATATATGAATAAAAGAACAGAGTTAAGTCTGGACATTATTATTCTAATGTAAAACATACTGCATTACCGTATACTTGTTCTTACCAATTTTGTATCCATTTTTGATTTGATGTCTCTGGCAAGTGTCAAAAATGCCTACAAGCCCAAACAAAAACACATGTCAATTTTCTGATGCACACCTTACAGTCAAGAAACACTCCATCAAAAGTTATACGTTCTGAAATTGCTTTAAAGTACAAGGCACAGGGAAAACTAGCGATGGTGATGGAAGGACAGCGTTCATCCTCTGGCAGAAGTTTTATTTGCTTCTTATTACCGATGGTTCTATGGCATTTTTATGTTTACTTGTTAGAGGAGGATTTAAAAATTGCCTGCTTACGTTTTCCACATTGATGTTGGACTTCGCACTGGTCTCCATGAACTTGATTCCGTATTCTAGAGCAAGCTAAGAAAAAAATTGGAGGAAAATTAATGTTTATTTGTTCAAGTATGCATCCATGTTTTACTCAACTAGCTCCAATCACATGATCACAAATCATTTCACTGTGAGTTTGAATTCTCACCTTCTCTCCCCTGTCTTTGGACACCTGCCTCTTGTCATTGATATCACATTTGTTCCCAAGGACCATCTTTTCAACATCAGACGATGCATGCTAGATTACAATTAGAGAAATTCAAAAATATGAATCATTAAGCCACTTAGGAGCTTTAAGAACTTTGGAAAGCTTTAGAGTGGGGACATCATTGGATCAGTACAAACCTCCTCTATGTTACGTATCCAGTTCTTGATATTTTCGAAAGACTTCTCATTGGTGATGTCGTAGACGAGCATGATGCCCTGCAAGAATGAGTTAACCAAGTGTTAAAACAAATATAGATTTAGATCCTTAGGAACATTAGCGGATGAAATTAAGTCACTTTGTCATATTGCTATACCATTGCTCCTCTGTAGTAGGCTGTTGTGATTGTTCGGAAGCGCTCCTGACCAGCCGTATCCCTGAGAAATGTATAAAACAAATGTTTTAAAAAAAAGTTTCAACTTAAACAACAAATAACAATTTTTTTCAACAGAGGAAGTATCATAAAGTAGGATTGGATCTTGAGAGGAAGTTCCCTACTAATTGAATGAGGTTATGATTAATAAGAATGGTATAAAGTGATGGTTAATATGTAGAAATATAAATATTCTATTAAATATTCATGTTACAGTACAGCTGTGAAGTGTGTGAAAGTCCTTTACTGTGAGAGCACTGACAAAAAACTAATCTTAAAACAATTATCTTACCATATCTGCAACTTTATCTTCTTTCCGTCAAGTTCTATCGTCCTAATCTTGAAATCAATGCCTGCGAGATTAAAAAACATTTTTTTTAAAGATACTGTGCATGTCAATCAGAACGTTAGCTTGTACGCTGCAGCATATCCTGTCAATCAGGAACTGATTCTGCACCGACACAGAATACCAATAAATCTTACGTATTATTGTAAGACGTATTATTGTTACAGACAGTAAGGCATAAATGTAAGGGGCATTGCCTATTTTGCATGAATTACAAACTATAATTATGGGGATTTCCTGTTCCTTAACGGAATGTCTACGGGCCTAACGGCTAGCACCAATGCTATGTGGCTAACCGATAGCATTAGCTGATAGAAACCTCAACCGGCGTGAGACTGTAAGGAACCATCTACTTCCTAATTTGCGAGTGCATCTAGCAAAAATATAAAGAGTTTATTCTGCCCTTTTACAACGGCTCCGTTTATTTTATTTGACCAATCAAATTTGCTCCAACAATCATCACTTTTAAAAATCATTTCCAATCTTCAACGTAGCATAGCCAGCAATCCAGCAAGTAGACGTACCCGCGAGGACAGACCATCTGCGTATTGTAAACACCCGCAATGGAAGTCTAGAGTGTCCCCCAAAACGTACCTATTGTTGAGATAAACGTTGAATTGAAGGCGTCCTCCGAAAACCTGAACAGGACGCATGTCTTCCCTACGCCAGAATCCCCTATTAGCAGTAATTTAAACAAATAGTCGTACGTTTTCGCCATACTTGATATTATTGCGGAAATCCCGCCCGGTGAAGAAGGGATGTTAAAGTACAGAAATGTCGCCCCCTGTTGGTTCGGAATTCACATGCAGCTCGGAACCAGTGGGCGTTTAAGTGGTGAAGAATTGTTTACGTAGCTTTAAATTAGTTGAACATGTTAGTTTTATGATATTTATAGTGCAGTTCATACTTAGTCGCACATTTAACCTTAAAATTGGAAAAATAGATAGTTAAATTATCAACATATGTACTTCAAACAACATTGAAAGTGAAGTGTACCATGAAAAAAAAATCAAGCTCCCTGGATAGAAATTTCCAGAAATGTCCACACCTTTTTGACTAAAGAAATACTTTTCAAATGTCATTATATGAATATTATTGCTCAGGACTCATTTTTGGCCAGTGCAAAACAGTTTATTTTTTCCTTTCTAAACACATACTATGCATTTATTAATTTAGCTACTCATGAATATGTTGCTTTGACACTTTTGTGCTTACTTCTGACACCCATATTCTGAATGTTGTATTCAGGGTCTTAACCTAAATCAACTGAGTGGAGACAAATAAATTAAAAATTATTTCAAAATGTACTCTGCTTTGATTTCCTTGATGTACAGAGAATGACTATTCCCTACAAAGACGTTCACAAAAACTACAGAACATCTTTTTTGTCTCTCAAGTTTTGGTGACCTCCTGGCCTTCTTTTATAGAGTATGACAAAGTTCTGTGTGCAGCAAACAAAAGGGACTAAAACCACCAAAAACTGCTTAAGGTCAGCCTTGCGTGTTAAGCCCTAAACGCCCATAAACTGCACCAACATTTGAAAATGTCAAGTTATGATATAAATTAAACTGAAAGCGTTGACAATTTCTGACACATTTCTGCTGTGAGATTTTTTTTTCTTTATTCTTAATGTGAGAACAAGCCAGAGCCAACAAAGACTGTAGACCTAATCTCACAAAGTCACATAAAATCAATCACTGGTCATCTTATCTTGTTTGTGGATACAATCTTGATTGACCGTATGTGTCTGTATTAGTATCTGAATGTGATTTTCAGCCATTTTAGGTCAGGGTTTCATAACAAGCTTGAAAAAAAAAAGTTGCTGTGGTTTTCCTGTTGTATGGGCAGGCTCTGCAGATAGAGAACAGCAGATTGAATGTCTTAGCAGAGCATACTTAAAACAAACTGCATGTTCACACTTGTAAAGTGAAGACTGAGGTGTTTTCCTGCTACACTTTATAGGTGTGTGTTGAAACTACCCAAAGGACACAGATATATTCAGAGAAATACACTGAAACGAGGGACACCAACACTCACACCACAGCAGAAGTAACATTCAGACTTTATTCGTCATCAAGTTTATTTTTTGCAAAGAGTTTGATCTACGCCACATTTGTTAGCACCGATACTAAAATTGTATGGACCCCGAACCATTTGTTTTTTAAAAAAAGAAATGAAACATAGGACATAAACATAAATATAAAAGGGGTACAGGGGCACAGTCACAGATTGGAGTGAAATTACAAAGAATGGATGGCATATAGAAAATATCTTTAAAAAACAAAAAACGCTTTTATTTTTCATTGTTGATGTTCGTCTTGTGATCTTACAAGCTATTGAGCTCCTGCAGTGTTTGGTCCAGGACTTGGTGCATTCCTATGTTCTCCTCCTTTGCACTTGATAGGTTTTCTGCAATAAAAAAGGAGCAGCAATAGGAAAAATACAAAGCAGTCAGTACCCTAGGAAAATAGTAAAACAGACTAATTAAGATACACACCTTTGTCAAGTATATGTGACGTATCCATACAAACCTTGTATTTTTTTTATAATTTGCAGGATACAGAGAGTGAGTAAAAGACGAGAAACAAGGTAAAAGAGATAAATGTCTTTATTGAGAGTCAGTGCAATGCAAAAGGAGGAAGCAGCAGTGAGAGCAATGGGAAAAGAGAAAAAGGGATTCTAAAAAGGCCAAGAGGGACCACCTTAAGCCAAATGCAAGCTTTACAAGGTGTTCATATCATTAAGGGCATTGTCCAGCTCCTCACTGATAGCCTTGTATTTCAGCTTCTGAGTGTACAGCTCGTCTGCAGGTCAAAGGGCAGGAGGAAAGCAGGAGGGAAATGTAGAAACCGTGAAGACCAAGGAAAAAGGAAAACAAGAGAAATCACAGAGAGCAGATTAAAGATCAAGAAAGCCAAAAGATCTGACCCAATGTTCAGTAGTGAAAAGGTATAGCTTGTGATCGGATCGAAGGGGGAGAGCAGAAATGAAGCGTACCTTCTAAGTCATCTATGGTCTTCTCCAGCTTAGCCACCGTCCTCTCTGCAAACTCTGCACGAGTTTCCGCCTGCGCGACACATAAACATATTAGTGACCCAGACACAGCTAACCAACAAATATACAGGTAGCTCAAAAAGATGAGAACAGACCTCCTTCAGTCTGTCATTCAGGACTTTAATCTCCTCTTCGTATTTGTCTTCTTTCTCCGAGTACTACCAACAAAAAAAAAGAAGTTTTCAGCAATTTTTCCTCATCAAGGAAAAAGTTAGATGCATAAAAGCTCTTTTTCGCTACGTTTTAATGCGTTATCGCTCTTAAAAAAGGTGATAAGTGTGCTGCTGCTCCAGAGCCACTGATCTATAAGCGTGAGGCTCTTTTCAGGTCAAGCAGCAAGCTGACAGGAAACCTACCTTATCAGACTGAGCCTCTAGAGACTTGAGATTGTTGGTGACATTCTTAAGCTCCTCCTCCAGGTCTGCACATTTACTGAGAGGAGAAA